CTCTCTCTCTCTTGCTCTCTCTCCTCCTCTCTCTCCCTCTCTCCCCCTCTCTCCTCTCTCTCTCTCTCTCTCTCCTCTCTCTCTCGCTCGCGCTCTCTCCCTCCCTGGAAGAAGGGAATGAGGCAGGGCTGACGTGAAGGGATGCAAAACAGCTCCTCCTAAGCCAGCTCGCAGAGGAAGAGAGACAGAAAAGCAGCCCTTTTATCTCTCTTTTGTTTTCTCACTTCCTTCCACCCCCCCCGCACCCCCCTCCTGTCAGCCCAAGTTTTCTCTTCTCTTTCCACCGCAGAGAGGATTTTTTTCTTCCCCTCTTTCTCTGCCTTCCAGTTCAACTCTCCCACTCAAATGGAAAGCCTGGAGGCTTTTCGCTCTTTTTTTTTTTTTTTCCCTCCCTCTTTTCTTCCTTCTTCCTCCTTTCTTATTTCTCTAAAAGGGTTTTGTTTGCTGTGGGAGTTTCGTTTGAAAATCAAGTCACGCCTTTTTTTTTCCTCCTTTTCTCTCTCTCTCTTTCCTCCTCAGAAAAGGGGAACAAAGATGAACTGAAGCGGGGGAGAGGGGGAGCGGCAGTGCCTCGCATAGAAATGGGGGCCCGGCCCGGCACAAAGGGGGCCCGGGGACTGCGCGCCCCCCGGCCCCGTGGGAAGCCCGGGGCGGCCTCGGGAAGGGGAGTTAGTGGGGTGGGGGGCGCGGCTGCCGGGTGCCGCCCAGCCGCCCCTCCCGGGCCTGAGGTGGAAGGCTAGGTGTGTTCTTGACTCCCGTATTTTGAAAGTAGGCAGATGGGCTAGGAGCAGACGTCCCCGCACCGCACCGAACTGTGAAAGAGCCTTTAACAGCTGTTCGCAGAGCCCTAGACAGCCAGGCTCGAGGGAGCAGCGCGGGCTGCGAGCGCGCGCCGGGCCGCCGTGGACGCGGCTGGAGGAGCAGGGGGTCGGCCCCTCGCGGGCCCTCCAATCCCGGGGCCTGGGCCTCGGCCCCAGATGCACTGCTGGGGGCGCCGAGGCGTGGCCGCTCGCCGCGCGGGGGTCAGGCCCTTGCGCCTCCCTGCAGGGGGCTTGGCACAGCCCGGCCTCGCCCCAGTTCCCGGGCAGGCCGGGTTCTCCGAGCTCCGGGACGCCCGCCACTCTGAGCCGCTTCTCGACTCCGACGCTGGGCCGGGCCGGAGTCCTCGGACGGAGCCGGACAGAGCCGCCGCGAAGGGTAAATTATTCATGGGGCTCCCGGGCGTGCTCCCAAGACCTGCTCTGCCCTCAGCTTCTCCGGAGAAGTGGGGAGAACACAGGGGAAAAGTTACCACAGCAAAGTTGGCCACATTTCTCTTTTTTTTCCAAGTAAGTATTGAGCACCTGCTGGATGCCTGACACTTGCACTGGGGCTGCTGCCAGGGGCTGGGGAGAAACGTGAGCTCTTCGTGGGCCGCCAGAGTTTCCGCAGGAAACAATGCCTGAGGAGGCCGCAGCTCAGGACCTGGTCATTGAGAGGAAGGAAAGCCTGGATCCCCTGGCCTCCCGCCTCTCTTCCTTCCCCTTCTCTTCCTACCTCCCGGCTGCATCTCCTTGGCTCCACCCCTTCTCATCAATTCCTCCCACACTTCCCTGCTCTCCCTGGCTTTTCACTGGAGGGTCCCTTCTCCCAGCGAGGAACAGATGCTGAGCCCCATTGTCTCTCCCCCAGTGACTGCAGCCTCCTCGGACCTGCCGCGCTTCCTCCCTCCCCCCAGCTGGGAGGCCTGGGCCTTTAGACACTGGAGCCCCAAGGCCACTGCCCCTCACCCCACCCTAAACCAGCTTCTGGCGTTGTGAGCTATGACTCCAGTCACTCACAACATGATTTGTTTCTGACTGGGAGTGAGGAGACAGTAGCCTGAGACTTTGCTTAAGCAAGAAAGACACCACGGTTTTAACATCAGCACTCTGAGCAGTGGATGACCCCAGAGCATTTGCCCACTACGTCCTCTTAATAGGGTATTCAGGAAGCCCCATTTCTGTCATTTTATGTCCTCCAGCTTAGTGCACCTAAACTGTCTCCTTCAAACAAAGCAAAACACAGCTTTCACTATAGTCGAGCACTCATTTAACAAATGCTTGTTGACCTACTCTGTGCCTGCACCTGTGCTGGGTGCTAAGGCCCACCAGCACACCCAGTCCTCAATGTAGCCTTTGCAGACTGAAGGGGGAAGAAGCAAGAAGGCAGGGAACCACAGTGCTACGTGATGCATAAAAGATGAACCAAGAAGCACCTAAGAGGGTACTTGGACTAGGGTGGGGACTAGGGTGGTCAGGGATGGCTTCCTGGAGGAGGTTGCATCTAGATGAGTAGGCGAGTGCTAGGCAAATGCATGGGAAGGCACAGCCCGTCCAAAGCCCCCAGGGCAAGAGAGCACATTCTTACAGATTCTTGGAACTGCCGCGAGTATTTGCTGCAGTGTGGAGTACAAGTGGGGGAGTGGGGAGAGGGGACAGTGTCAGGGCACAGGTGGGAGGAGAGTGTGGGGAGCATGACAGGGCATACGTAGAGGAGGGGGCCGGATATCAAGGAGATGTTCAAATTTTAGCCTCTCCTACTTGGGTGACTAACAGCCTCAGTGAGTAACTTAGACTCACTTATAAAATAAGTTTCCTCACTTATAAAATAGGTAAGAAGAGCTTGGGCTGCAGAAACAGTGTCTTATGTTTAAGGGCCCAGGCTTACTTGCTGACTATCTGTCAGCAAGATGACCTCTCTAAGTTTTCTCATCTGTAAAATGGGGGTGACAACACCTGACATAAAGAGTTATTGTGAGGCTTAGATGAGCGAGCCCATGCGTAGCGGTGTCTGGTACGTCAGCGCCAATACATGGTGGCTTTTATTCGTTATTTTTATAAATCAGGGAGTGTCAGGGAGGTGCCTTTACAACCTAGAAATGAGATTATGTTCTTTTTGGGTTGAAACCAGAATGACTCACCATGCCGGAAATGAGATGAACTGTCTGTGGAGGAAGCATTCATTGAAAGATGTCCTGTGTCCCAACAGGTGGCTTGGATTGGGAACGCCTACATCTGATCAAGGTGGCCAGGGTGTCATCTCAGGAACATGAGTGGAATGTAAAGACTGGCTGCCCAGGCCTGGCTTCATCAGTGGAGTTGGAGCCTGCCTGAAAAACGAAGAGGAATCGGAGGAGAGTGGGCCTCGAAAAATCCAGAGGGCCCCTTGGAGAAGGTACATGGCTGTGTTTGCTCAGTGTAGAAAAGTAGGCACAGAAGTTCGCACTCAGGGGGAGGAACGGCGAGAAGGGGATTATTGACTCCTCCAGAGCCCCGAATTAAATCTCTCAAAACCTCTTAGTCCTTTGCTTGGATTCCTCATTCTCCAGGCAACTCGCAGATGAACTTGGCACCAGCAAAAATGCCCCCTGCATCCAAGCAGACATCAGCCTTCCAATTCTGCATTGTAAACATTTAACACTTCTATTATTTATTTATGACACAAGTTCATTGTGAAAGAGTTTGAAAATCAGCTAAGCAAAACTGAAAAAGGAACCCCCTGTAGAGATATTATATTTTCATGTGTATCCTTGGACATTTTATATCCACATATCTGCATGTAAATGCACATAATAATAAAACTATACAAAGTAAATATTGTTAAACAGATGAACGACTGTACTTGTAAATATGTTATTCTTAAAAAATTAGCAAAAATGGCATTACACTATATCTACCAAATTGTAATATGTCACAAAAATTTTCCCTCTCTATAAACATCCACGTTATTGTTTTTAAGAAATTATATTCCATGGCATGCAAATATCTTAATTTGTTTAAACAAATTATTGGACTTGTAAGACGTTTCCATTTTTCACTTTTATGGACCCGCTGTGGTAAATATTCACCTTTGCCAGGTAGATGTCATATTCTGATCATCATTTTACAGATGAGGAGACTGGAACACAGAAAAGGTAAAAAAAATTTCCCAAGGTCACAGCTATGGCTTGACCGAGCCAGAATTTGCAGGCAGTTTCCAGCTGGGAGTCCCTTTCAGCATCTGTTTTCTCCTTTTCTTTAGAGCGACTGCCCCCTCCACTCCCCATTATCTTTCTCTTACAGATCACCTCCCTGCAAGAACCTGTCTGGGCGAGTGACCCACTTCCTGCTCTGACACCTTTTTAACTTCACTAATGTCCACCTCCTGGGGTTGTTGGGGGGAATGAAACCAGGTAATATATGACATGTAATGCATGGATAGTATATTTCGTAAATCGTGAAGCCTGTGTGAACCTTAGGCCTTAACTCACATCAGATAGATTATGATTTAGCCAGATCCCCTGACCTGCCCAAACCCGAGAAGGAAGACTCGGGATTCAGACTAAAGAGAAAGAAATCAGCTGTTCTGATGCAGAAGCAGTTACCAGAGGCCTCCCCTGGGCATTACAGAAGCCCACAGGTGCCCTCACCCTAGAGCTAAAATAGGAAGGAAGCTTTGTTATAAGGTTTACTAATTTCTCTTGATTTCCCTGAGGGAGGGTGCGTTTATACCACAGACTTTCCAGAATGTTTATATCTATCTCTGGAAATTTGAGGGGTCTTGTAAGCTGAGAAAAGGGGTGAAACACAGCTCTTCAGTATTCCAGTTGATGTGTTCACCAGAGTAACTGCTGGGAGATGAGCAGGTGATTACTAAGATGTGTTTCATTCATTGACAGAACCAAAAGAACATTTTAAAAAATATCAGTGGCTTTGCCATATTTAATATTCCATTTTTAATATCAAACCTCCCAACTGGAATTGGCCAATGGAAGGTGTAGAACCCTGGGATTGAACTAAGAGGGCCTGCAGAAAACAGGTGGACCCAGGGCTCCTGAAAGGATGCTCATTGGCGATGGCAGGCGACCCGAAGCTGGTAGAGAGTACTTGAGAGCTATTTTAATGACTGGATTTTCACAGAAGCTGAGTTGGGCAGCTAATCAAAACTTTCAGAAGTATAGTAACAATTTAGGAATAATCAAGGGTTTGGAGGGGAGAAACTTAAAGAAAACAAAAGTCTGTTTGGATAGATGGGGTGAACATCTGCCATGTGCGAATTATTTTTCCAGGAGTAATGACAGGGTCCTTCAAATAATCCACCTCTCCGATCTTGCCTGTGACCAAGGGTGCATATTTGCATGGCTTTTTTCCAATAAGTTAACTGGCCTTATTTCCATGAATATAAGAATAAAAATACACCCAAAGAAACATAGGCCACCGACCATAGAAAGGAAACTGCCAATTTCACCAGTTTAAAACAAATAAATACATAAAAGCCATAAAGATGACACCTGCTGCTATGGGAGAGCACATTGGTACAGAGCCTGGGAAATAATTTGATATTAGAGATCAAGAAAAGTTTAAAAGCTTATACTCTTTGATTCACTAACTTTAGTGTTAGAAATCTATTTGACAGAAAGAATCAGCCATGCAGACAAAGATGTGTGTTAAGGATATTTATCAAGTGTTATTTATGTAGGCAAAAATTACAAACAAAGAAAGGAGAAGGAAGGAAGGAAGGAAGGAAATAAACTAAGTATTCAACAGTGAGGAAATGTTTAAAGAAGTTATGGTGTTCACATCTGATATAATACTATACAGCTATTGACACATGGTTTTGAAGGATATTTAATGACTTAAATGTTTGCAATACACTGAGTGAGATACAAAATCGCATTTGCATCAGAATTATATTTTTGTACAATTTTGTATATGCATATATATTTATCTCCAAAAATACATATAAAATACTTAGAAGGAAATAGAAACATGTTAAAAGTTACTTCTCTTTTTTAGAATTATGGGTGGATTTTCTTTTTTTCTTTTTCTCTTAGCATATTTGCGAAATTTCTATAATGATTGAATTATTTTTAAACAATAACTTTAGAGAACAAGACCTAGGCTACTCATTCAATCCCCAGTGAAAAACCCAGGTCAGGCCTTCAAGGAGCTTACAGTCCTCAGGAGAAACATCCAAGCAAACAAAGTCACGTTGCAGAGTGCCGTTGCAGAGTGCCGTTATTTCTCCGCCCTTGGAAAGGTTTGATGACCTAGGAAGAAAGAGGAACCAGCATTTTGGTTGCTGATGATTTGGGCTCTGGGTTGAATAGACTATCTGTTGAGAAAGTGTATTGTGCAAAAAGAGAATGGGGCTTTTTGTGAAGGGAGATAAAGAGGGTGTGGGGTGGGAGCTGGGAGGGGAGGGGAGGAGGAGGCAGGCCTGGAAGCAGTGGGCGGATTGTGGGCAGAGCTGTCCTGAAGGTCCCTCCAAGTCGTCCTCCCCATCCTGCCCCTGAGTGGCAGTGTCCAGGGCCAGCTGAGTACCTGGGGGCTCAGTAAATGTTTATTGTCCATGAGAGTGGATGAATGAAACAGGGATCACTCTCATGAATTTCCTTTAAGGCATTAATAAAACATGTTGTCTGGAAAAGAAAAAAAGAAAAAGACATCATTATGAAGCCATGATGATGAGCAAGACAGGAGGGAAACTTATAGTCTTCTCTATCAAGGAAGCAAGGTAGGTGTGTGTGTGTATCTACTTTAATCTCAGAAGGTATCCTGGGTTCAAGTTTGAATGTGGCAATGACTGGAGTCAGGAACTCTTGGCTGTTGCGACTTGCCAGATGTGCTTCAGTGCCTGGAAAATGGGCTCAGAGCACTTATATTTGTTGAGTCAATCACATGAGATAATGCATGTAGGTAGGATAATGCTGTGTAGACTGTAAAGCACTCTGCAAATGGAGCGAGCTGTCGATATTAGCATGATTACCTGTAACCCCCAGGCACCACCTGCTCGGCGGATGATGATGGCTTTGTTGTGTTGAATCTTCAGACATGGATTTTTTGGGGGGGGGTCTCCTCCCTTTCTCTCTATTCAAACATTTATTGAGAACCATAATGTACCAGTCACCCTCAAGAGTCTCCCAGGCCACAAGGATGACAGATGTAAGACTAATGATGACTTGTACAAGAACAGAACCTAGCTCTTATCTTTAGGAAGGCTTCTTAGAAGAGGTGATGTTTAAAATGAGCCTTGAAAGAAAAGTGAGAACCTGCTCAGCTAAGCAAGGGGGACAGGGCTTTGCGCAGGGGAACAGAGTTTAGGAAGTTACTTAACCTCCTGAGCCTTGGTTTCCTGCTCTGAAGAACCCTACCTGACCGCTGTGAGACAACGCATGCCAAGTGCCTAGCACAGTGCCGGCCTCTGGTCAGTACTGAAAAAAAGCCAGTTCTTTGGCCCTCTGTATCAAAATCACTTCCTCTTTGAAGCTTACTTCCTGTTCACATTTTGTTCTTTTTCCCAGTTCCTGGGGACATACTGACTGTTAGCTTGGGCTGTAAGTTCCAGTATCCTTAAAATAATTTAAAAACATATTTTCCGCCATAAAGAAAATCCCAATAAATTTGAAATACACGTGATATGGACCACATTCTTCGTTCACAATATGCTAAAACTAGAAATGGTTAGAAATTGACTACTGAAAATTTTCCAAAATACCTTCTGGATAAAGGAGGAAATCAAGAATCAAGTGTTAATTTAGAAAATAAGTCAAAGAAGAACCACACCAATGAAAACCGACAGAACACATGCAAAGCTTTACTCAAAATTTTCTGTAGCTTTTAAAATGATTTTATTGTTAAATCCAGAAAAGGTTAAGTAAACAAAATATTCATGAAATCATTTAGAAATATTAAGAAAAACAACAATACCCCAAATCAAGATGAAGAAGGAAGGAATCAGGAAAAAAGAAAAGAATAAATTAGAAACTAGGAAAACAGTCGTAGGAATACCAAATACCAGTCCTTGAGCTGGTCATTTTTGTTAAAGTCTAAATAATAACAATGGACAAATGTAATGAAGGGAAAGAAACCAGAAGCAAACACAGCTAAAGGTGAAATGGTAGAAAAGACCAGAGAACTAGATGAAAAACATAAAAGGATATGTGAAATGGCTGACAAATTTGAAAATTTGAGTGAAATCGTTTTCTGAGGGAAAAAAATAGAGATGCTTCCTCTAACAGAATCAGAAGTAGAAAATGTAAACCACCTCCTTGGGTTTCTGCTCCAAATCTAACTCTGACCAGATTTTAAAGCTGCACCCCTTGCCCCCCACTTCGTTTCACTTTTCTCCTTTGATATCGATATATCTAAATAGGACATATGCCCGATTGCTCGCTTGTTTCCCCTTCTCTCCTCACTAGGATGTGAGTTTCCTGAGAAGAGGGAATTTGCTTTTTTGTTTTTAATTAAACTTTTTATTTTGAGGTCATCGCGTTATTTTAAACGTTTTATTTTTCTTTTGTGTTTTTTTTTTGTTTCATTTATGATTAAAATGTTTTATTTCGAGAGAATGATAAGAAAACTATTTTTTTTTCACTACTATATCCCTACTACACAGAACAGGGCTGGACACAGAGCAGGCATCTGAAATAAATACTAGTTTAATGAATACATGCGTTGTGGAAGAATTTAAGAAAGATATATCAAGAATGTTGTCCCCCAAAATTCTGAGTCTGGAGGTTTTACTTCAGTGGGGGAATGTCTTCTAAAGTTTTGAGGCATAGGTAACCCCATATTATATAATTAGTCCAGAATATAGCATTTTCTATGTGAAGAAAACTATAATTTTTTTGTTGTTAAAGAATACAAGAGAAGACCTGAACATGGAAAGACATATCCTATGCCTGATGCAAAGGCGAAATAATGTAAAGATGGAAAGGTCGAATTAATTGACAGACTAAGTGCAAATCCAAATATGATTCTTTTTCAGACTTTTGCAAAAAGATTATAAAATTCATGTAGAAAAATAAACAGAATTTCAAAGTCTAAAATTAGAGTAAAGATGGAGAGAATAGACCTAGATATAAAACATATTGGAAAATTATAATACTTTAAGTTGTGGTATTAATACAAAAATGTACAGTTTTAATAGATTAAAATACCACAAAATGAGATGATACACATACTAATGTAACAATAAAGGATCAAAGATTATTTTAAAAGTTACTTTGGGCTAACTGGCTGGCATTAGGAAGAAAAATTTTGTACTCTCACTGCGTATAATAAATACAACGAATAAATTCTGTCTGAAAGTAACAACAGCGATAAAGATCAAACCTGAAAAAGAGTTGTAAGGAAAGGAAAATAGACACTTTTAAACACCTGAAGAAGAAATAAGTTTTAAAGCTTAGACCCAGGGGAAGAAATGAAAGGAAAAGGAAGTTTTTTGTTATGTAAATAAGTCAAACTTTACCATGCTAGGAAAATAAAAGTTATCTCCAAGATACATTGTTAAGTGAAGAAAGCAAGTTGTAGTTAGCATAATGTTTGCATAAAGAAGAAAAATGTATACAAAACAAGGCTATGTATTTTTGTTTTGTGAATATAACACGTGTGTAAATGCCTAGAAAGTGACCAGGAGGGACATATACAAATTGATAGCATTTAGAGTGAGCAAAGGGGACATTTACTTTATTTGAGGTGTATGAATTTTAATTTCTTACAACAAGAATATACTCATGTATCACTTGTGTAATTTTAAAAGAAAATGACAAAACCCAAAAGACTGCGTTAAATAGTTTTAAAGCTGTTTTTCAGACTGTACGCAAAGAGCTTGTACAAATGATTTTCTAAACTGTGAAATCCCAATAGACGAATGGTCAGCAGGCACCATGAGTCTGGTCACTGAGGAGAAAATACCAGAAAACAACTACAAGAAAATGTTCACACTAATTCATTTAAATAAACCCAAGTGACAGGTAGCGCTGAGGATTAGGATCTGACTTCCTTTTTGGCCCCCAAGACCAGCTCGGTCTTTGAGAAATGGGTAACTTGGGGGCACCTGCAACAGAAAGGAGGTGAGGGGGCAATGTCAGAAGGGGGTCCCCGACCCAATCCTCCTTAACCGGAGATTTTGTGAGCACCCCTTACTGTGTGGTCGGTGGTCTTGTCTTGCCCCCACCTCAGGTTCCTTTCCTGCAACAGGGCGCAGTGTGGGGAGGAAGGGTTCTGCCGAGAGCTGGTGGGATGGCCTGGTCTGCAGACAGGGTCCCCACACAGCATCCTTTACTGGGGACAGCGTCAAAGCACCAGGAAATGTTGCCTTTAGGGCTTCTTTGATCTGGGAGGAAGTGATGGGGAGAAGTGAGCAGGGCTGAGGACAGGGATTTTAAAGCACTTGGAGTAGAGTTGAAACCCTTGGGGATAGGGACCTTCTCTTGCGCTGTCTAGATCCCCAGTCCTTGTTTGCCCATGGGCCCACACAACTTTACACCGTGTGCCCTGCGCAGCGGGGCTGCTGTGTGACTGCAGATGGCTCAGCCCTGTTTCAGGGTCAGTGACAGTTTTGCCAGTGAGTAGAAGCAGATATCACTCTCCAAGGAGAAAGAAGGAGGAATAATATGAACAGAAGAAGAGAAAGGAAAATGTAGAGCATTTGCATGTGGTCAGTATGGTGGGAACCGGGTGCGTCTGTGGAAGAACTCTGGGCGCTGGGGTTGTGAAGGGGCTGCGGACAGGATGGAAGGCTCTCGGGTGCTGCATTAAGGTATCTAGGCTTTATCTTGTAGGCCAGCGAGTCCCAAAGTGTGCTCGTTGACTGACAATGCATAAGAAGGGTTTCTGTGTCAAATAGAGTTAAGAATTAATGCAGTAAAAAAGTGAACCAAGTCTTTGATAGGGCTTGGAGCCCTTAATTTGTCATTTTATGTTGAGATTCTCTAAGAATGTGTATGGTGTAGAAGCTTTCTTAAACTTTTTTGACAAAGAATAAGGAGAAAGGAGAGGGAGGCCTGTTGGCTTGGTTCAGGGAGAGGGAAGCCGCCCACGCGCCTATCAGAGCATTGCATTGCCTTCTCCAGCCGCGAGGGGGCGCCTCCGCCTCGGCTTAGCTTGGTTGCTGTCCACTCGCTTCTAGATGGTCTAAAAGGTGTTGTGATAAATCCAGAAGGCCTGGCGGCTCTCTCGTCTTCTTCCTCCAGCAGGGATTGCTCTGCAGGCCCCACCTCTCAGTCACTTATGGCGGGTTTTCTCCATCCCAGCCCCGCTCCTGCGCCTCCCTTGCCACCTCTCGCCCAGGTGCTGTGGAACCATCTCCTGCGCTCTTCTACTTCCCCTGTGGGTCCAAAATGACCTGAATCACAGTGGAGTTGCAAAGACTCATGTCTTCTTGTACACGTGTAAAAAGAACACATAAGAGGGGGTGTTCTCTTTGATACACCCATGTCAAGAAAAAGGGAAACCATAACACATAGAGGGAAATTCACATAACAGTCCCGCCATCAACCTCCTGAGCCCTCGGAGATACTCAGAAGCCCCCTTCAGATCTCCGCTGGTGCCTCCATCTGCCACCTCATTCTCAGTAATCAAATTTGCTTTTTCTCAAGCATCAGCACTCATAACAAATACAGACGCGATTTCAGATCCGAAATCTTTCTTATTTATCATTCATGGCCGTAAGTTTTGCTTTATTTTTCGTGGCACCCATCCAAGCATTTCCACTCTATTGTGGATTAAATA